ATATATTATATATTTATGTATTTAGATATTTAAATATATTATATATTTACGTTCTTTATATATTTAGATATATTGTATATTTATGTAGAAATATGTTATATGCTATTAAGATACGTAATTTATAAATAAGAAATATATTAATTCATAAAAGATAAAATAAAATTCGTGCGATATCTACCTACATTCTACCACTCAAAAGTTTCAGATTACTTATTTAATTGGAAACTTGGATTTTTAAACAGAAAAGGTAGGAAAAAATATTAGATTACAGTAGAACTCCATTTATCTAAACCCGTTGGGGAACGAACAGTGCATGTAACTGGAGTTCATATAACCGGAGTTCACTGATTCTCCTCACCACCTATGACTTCTTCGAATAATAGGAGTTCGCGACCAAATAAGTGGATCGAATCGATAGAAGTTCATTTAACTAAAACGTCGTTCCGCTAAATGGACTCCTACTGTACAATTATTACTCTGTATTTATTTGAAATATTTCCACGACTCGATCCTCGAATTAATAGAAAATAATCATTTATCCCTATACTTAAACTCGTACAGCTAAAACTTGTCAATATCGAGAAATCCAATTATTATATTTTATTCGTTCAATGCAGGAATGAAGTATCATAATATTCACTGAAATTAAAATAATTTCGTAAAATAACATCAAAATAATTAAAATAACTTCGAATGGAAAAATTCTACTATTTCGTAGAAAATTAATCACCCAAACAATAAAATATTTCTCTTTGCAGACAGAACGATTGAAACAAAGATGAACACACAGTACAATGTACAACTGAGAAATTAGCAACTAAAAAGAATTTTCCCTGGCATGATCATGAACATATGATACAAGAATCTTGATTACTGATCAAAAGTACCATATGTAAGTACAAATGGGACTATGTTATAGAATTAAATGACAAAAGGAGGGAGCAAAATGCGTGGAAATCGAATAGGATAGGACGACGAAGCACTATCATAGACACAGGACCAGTGCTAACCATGTAACATAAGATAAAAAGAATTCTCGTATAATTTACCCTCTACCATGTCGGAGTACGTCACTAAAAGCCTAGAAGTATGGATTTCAAGAGCATCAAAGGGGAAATCAGACAAAGCGAACAGATTATTCCTCTTATCCCTGTGACGTGTCTCGACTATCAACTTAGCAGCCGCATAAAGTAACTAATTCTACTACCATTGTAGCATATGTCCTCAAAGGTGGAATCACACAGAACGAGCAGAAAAATCCTCGTGTCCTGTACTCTACCGCGAGATCCCTTGTAACATAAGGAAGATGACTCTGACACTGCTCAAAACATAAGAAGATGAGATAACTACTCTGCGTTGCTGAAAAGAAGTGATCCGAGAAACTTGTAGGACCGAATAGCCGCCAGTCCAACCATTCTATCATCATGGCAGAAGTAGAGTAAAACGCTTCCCTTATTGGTAAAACTGATCCCTTCCTATTAGCCCGGTCATAGAACACCGTGTGACAAAGAAAGCAAACGAAGCAACGAGACAAAGTGAGACAGACGCAAGAAATAGATGCAAGAGCGTACACTCATCCCAAAAGCATATTAACTTCAGATTCTTCCGATGAACACGTGATTATTTGCAATTACTAATTACTAATTAGCATCTTGATTAACTTTTCATTGCATTATGCAGCAAACGTGCTGTACTATACACATATTTTTTATATTTATGTTGTATCGTGTGATTTTTTAAACGGTTATCTAGTACGATGCAATTACATAATTAATTTATCACAAAAAATACATCTTAAATTTTAAATCAATTTTCATAAATGATGTTAATTATTAATACTTTTGTACTTCTTCACTTTATAAATCTTTGAGCTATTGTCATCTGATTCCTTATCCGACTCGCTGCTTTGTATTTCCAATTCTAGGTCTTCAGTTGCGTCTTCTATTATTCCATCTTTCGTCCAATATTCGTGTTCCAGTGTT